CTAAAGGTGACAAGAATTTCAATCGGGGCAGACGATAATCTGAGAAGGGTCGGTCAGGGGAACAAAAAGGTCCTTAATTTTCACTGCCCCTGTTCTTCCTTCTTCTCCTCATTTGCTAAAATGATTGAGCCTTGTACTGGGCCATTTTTATTTCCTCATTCTTTATTCTTCTGTTTCGCCATTTTTGTTCCTGTCGAGAAATCAATTGTTTGTCTAAATGGGCTATTTATGTTTTTTTTTTTTTTATTATTTGTTGGTTTTTGGGTGTGTTTTATGTTCTTCGCATGTTTACAGGCGTCGTCTCCTAGTTTATTAGATCTTGTTCGGTTTTGGGAATTGAAAAAATGTGGTCCTTTATGTGTTTAATGATCGAAGATTTCGATTGAAACTGGGTTTAGCATGCTTTAAGGTTTTAGGTCTGCAAATGTTAGGTTGCTAATTAATCACGTTTTTGCACGACTCGTGTTAATTGTTTGTGAATCTTTATGTAATAATAATAATTATTATTGATCCAATTTCTCTGGAATTTGAGCACTTGTCCTCCATTCCAATATATCACTCTGCTTGTTTGAGTAGTTATGGTGCTAAAAAGAGCTGGACTACTAAAGAAAAAGAAACATAATAAGATAAAAATTACCATATTTATAGAAAAAGAAGGGATCTTGGTTTCTGTTTTTAATTTGGGTGAATCTGTGAATCCATATATTGATCTTGACTTCGGTGCCGGAAATTAATGTAGCCCGATGTTTAGCTTCCTTTGTTCTACCATTTACTGTAATTTAGCCACAATTAGATGGATTCTTAAATCATTACATTAACAATTTTCTTCTGTATGTCTTGTTGATAGCGTTAAAGGATACTTAAGCCTCTTATGGGTGGCTCAGATGATCAAGTTGCCATGATGGGAGATAGTTTCCCTCTCGACTCTATTCCGAGAACCCTCTTTTCATCAATGACGAATGACAAATTTGAATCACGGTCGGGCTTCAATTGTGAAAATCAATTCGCTCCCCCTTTTCCAGCTCAGCCTGGCGTGGAGGTTAGTAAAAGTGATGCTAGCAACTCAAATGCACTACCTGCAGCAAAACCGAGCTCTGTGGGAAGTCTTGCCGAGAGGATGGCAGCTCGAGCTGGTTTTAGTGCCCCACCAAGACTGAATACGGAAGCCATTAAACCACCGAAGCTTCAGTCTCCTTATTTGACTATTCCTCCTGGGCTTAGCCCAACCTCTCTGCTTGAGTCTCCCGTTTTCCTCTCTAATGCAATGGTGAGCTCTCTTTGGCAAGCTTGGGTTTTTACTTGATTTGTGTATTTTTATGAGCTGGTCTCTTGATCTGTGAATTGTTGGCCATTTGTCTCTTGTATCTTGTACTGAAACATAATGGTTATTGGTTGAAATGACCAAATAAATGTATCTGGTCGGTTGTTATGCATTGTTTTGTGGTTTTGGAAGTTTAAGTGATGTTTGGCCTAAATTTTCAAGAAAAGAAATGGCCAGCAGTAATTTTCTCTTATATGCTATCTAGTTCCTTATATTTTTATTACAATTCTGTTTGTCCTTCTGCTTCAACCAAAAAATCCGCCAATCGTTGATGACATTGTCTGTTAAAAAGTTGTATTGTTTTCTCTACAGGTTCAGCCATCTCCTACGACTGGAAAATTTCAGTTTGTCTCAAGCAGAAACAATCAGGACTCAACTCTGACGACAGATAATCGTGATACGAGAAAGGAGAACACTTTTGAAGACCCCAACGCCTCTTCATTTGCCTTTAAACCCATTGTTGAATCTGCTCCATTCACTTATCTTGATGCAGCAAATAAAGTAACTAAATTAATTTATACAGAATCTGTCTCTCACATTATGACATAACATACATAAAAAAAATCTGTAGGAACTTTACGATCCGCTTAATTCATTTTCTGTCACTTCATTCTTCAATTGACAGAGTATTTATTCTGTTCAAATTTTGCTTCAGTTGTTCTCTACTGCTGATGAGAGGCAAAGCATAGAAGACCCTCTTAAACCTCAACCGAACAAGAGCGGCCTTCTTTTTGATCAGTCAAATTTCTCAAATCCGGATAAGATCGACTGTCCTATTTATCTACCCGATAATTCTTCGCCACCACCCGATGAACACGAAGATGAGGACCCCACAGCCAGCAATTGCTCGGGTGAGGACGGTTACAGCTGGCGAAAATATGGGCAGAAGCACGTGAAGGGAAGCGAGTACCCCCGAAGCTACTACAAGTGTACACACCAAAACTGCCCGGTAAAGAAGAAAGTCGAGAGGTCCCACGAAGGCCACGTCACGGAGATTATTTACAAAGGGGCCCACAACCATCCGAAACCTCAGCCAGCTCGCCGCTCGGGACTCGGACCTCTAAACGCGTTCGAGAATATGCAGTCCATCTCAAATGGTAATCCCGTTTGGTCTGTGATGGAAAGGGAGAATTTTGCAGGTATACCTGAATGGAAACCAGACAACCTTGAGCAGAAGTCCTCTTTGCAGTCGGGCTGGGAGTATAGCAATCGGGCTGGGACCACTTTGCCGGCCCACGGAGGGGCCCAATGCGAGTTAACAGAAGGCCTAGAGGACTCGTCGACTTTATCGAATAAGGAGGAAAGTGATGGAGTGACGCATGGGAGTGTATCGTTCGGGAATGATGGCGAATTAGATGAGTCCGAATCTAAGAGAAGGTTCTTTCTTCTTTGTTTAACTTTTTCTACACTAGGTTGGCTCTGTACGAAAGTAACTTTAGTGCACACATATTCATGTTCTTTTATGTGTATTGTAGGAGGATGGAAACTTATGCTCAAGAGGTGTGTGGGGCAACCAGAGCCATACGGGAGCCGAGAGTTGTGGTCCAAACGAAAAGTGATGTGGACATTCTTGATGATGGGTATCGTTGGCGTAAGTATGGTCAAAAGGTCGTGAAGGGAAACCCAAATCCAAGGTTCGTTTTCTTTTTTTTTTTTTTTTTTTTGGTTGCTTAATACGAAAATAATGAAAAAAAAATAATAATGTGATTTGTAAGTACTCAGAGGTTAATCTTCATCTTTTTCTGTTGCTTTAATACTGTAAATCATTAAAACTTGAACAGACTATGAAATATGATTGGCGTTTTGAATTATGTACAATATCAGGAGCTACTACAAGTGCACCAGCCCGGGGTGTAACGTCCGTAAACATGTGGAACGAGCTTCTCACGACCTCAAATCAGTAATAACGACTTATGAGGGCAAGCATAACCACAATGTCCCCACAGCCCGGAACAGTGGTTTGAACTCGGGAGGCCCGAACACTCAACAAGCCCAAAATGCTGCAAATCGTATGGCCCGGCCAGAGCCCGGCCCGATTCGCGGCAGGGCAACATCGCTTGGGAGGCCGCCTTTGACTTCATTCGGTCTGCTGGGCCAGCCACAGGTGTTGCGCCCTGGATTTGGATTTGGGATGAATCAGCCTGGCCCAGCTGGCCAGGGATTGGACCTCTACACTGGAAACCACCAGCCTTGTCTAGCAAATGAAATGGGTTATATGATGATGCCAAAAGAGGAGCTGAAGCTGGAGCCCGTGATGGATTCTGGTTTGAACTCGGCTGTGGGGTTCTCGGCATATCAGCAGCTTATGGGTCGACTGCCGCTTGGACCACAGATGTAAATCTTTGGAAGTTTTTCAGTCATAATACTAAACAGTGTTGAGATGGGATCAAGATATAGAACTCTTTAACTATGGGTGTTTACTGGGAGTTGATAACTAATAACTATGGTTCATTCTTTAGTTTTTCCCTTGGGAAATACGGTGAAGTTTTGCTGGAGACACTGCTGAGTTTTTTTCATTGTGTTGCAAAAAAAAAAGAACTGGTATCTGCTTTAGTCTGGTTTTGGTGAAGCATACGAGCTGAGCCGTGTCATCTTGGCTCTATGAGTGAGCCGAGCCGTGTCATCTCGACTCTGGGGTGCTCACACACATCTTGTCTCACTAGTTATCCACCAATTGCCATATGAATGCTTTTCCTCCTCCGCCTTTACCACCCTTATCTTCAGTACTGCAACTCTCTTTAAACTCGACCAACTGTGACACCTAACGCGTTTGGTAATCCCTTAGAGCATATACAGCAATTTAAAACAGTTTTGTTGTAACTTGCAGGGTCCATACAATATACCACCATTCATCTCACACCATATTTATATTCACAACTCCTCATTCTGGTAGTCATTTTGAGCATCTCCATTAGTTTAAAACAATTTTTTGTATTGGCGGGGTGCATATAATGTATTACCACATAAATTCTATGGAGTCATCGGATGGTTAGTTTATAGAGTCATTCATCACTTATTTATTGTAGGAGTCGTGTCAATACATAATATATGGATAAGTGTAGATGACTTCATAAGTCGTGTCATCTGATGGCTCCATAGCAAAATTGTGTACTACCATTCATCAACACCATATTTCTATTATCATTTTTTCCTTTGTTTAACATTTTTATCTATCTAGACCATCTATATACTATCTAGAAAAGAAGGGAGGAGTATTTTTAAGAACATAGCCTCGTTTTTATGGCTATTATAGAAACAAAAAAAAAAAAAGAAAATTAAATATGGCATTTTAGGTGATGAAAAAACAATTGTACCTTTATTATAAATGTTTTACATGAGCATCAATAATTTGGAAACTTTCTCCTGTTTAACTCGAAAGGATTAGAAACTGAAACTACAAACTTTAGGAGATGGTGGTGGGGAGTCTGTGGCTTAGACAAAAAAAGCAATTTTTGAGAAGAGGATTCAGCTGAGCACCTATATCCTATGGTGCCTGTGGAAGTCCAGAAACCTCTAGAAATTCTAAAAAGTTAGAATGCCAGAACAAGAGGTGGTGAAAGCGGCTTGGAAAGATCAGATGGAATTTGGTTTGGTGATAGCAAGAGGATACATGTAGTCTACTAAGATGGAGTACTAGGTCTATTGGGAGTTAAGTGGTACAACTTAGTAGATAATGTGCTAATTGTTGTTCACTTAGTATTCTTGGTTCAATTGCTCATGTCTGAGATGTTCAATAGTAATATTGCTTTGAGATGTGATGGTTCTTGTATTTGCCTTGCCATTTGATGAGGTAGTTCTTCTTCTATATTGTTGGTCTATTTAGAACCCCGGTCTGTAAACATCGTTAACTTGTTGAATTGTGTTAAATGAAGATCTATCATTTTGGAAATGAATAAATAAATAAATATTTTACCTACCAATCACTCATCACCATCAATACATCTTTCACTTCTTATCTCCACCCCATCTCCATTGGTCCCCACCCAAAAAAAAAAAAAAAAAAATCAACTTATCTTCCCAAAATTCACTATACTTCTAAAAATTTGCCCCCTTCCGAAAATCATCTCCACCACCACCATCAGAAGTAGATCATTTTTAAAAGAAATGTACGTAAATTGTTTGCAAATTCATCTCCAAAAATTTGCAAACCTATTTTTGTGAATTTCCTTTTGACTATGTTAAATGTGTATATTGAATATGTTGAAGCAAATCCCTTTTTCGAATCATTTTTGGAACATTTAGTTTTGTTCTAAAAACCATTTATGAGCTCACATAAATATTGATTTTTCTAGAACCGATTTCTTTCTTGAACTCATGTTATTTTGTAAGAAAAAACAATAGTTCCCAAAAATCGTTTCTTGAGCTTCCAAAAACCGTTCTTGAGCTCTCAATAATCATTTTTTCTGTTCCTAAAAATTGTTTCTTGGGCTACCAGAAATCGTTTCTTGAGTTCACAGAAACGGTTTCTTAAACTCATATATTTTTGTCCCAAAAACACATTTCTGAAAAAAAAAATAATTGAAATTGTTTATGGAATCATAATTTTTTGCTCCATAAACCTTTCTGGGGAGAAAAAAGTTCTTAAAAATATTTTTGGAACTAATATATTTTTGTACCAGAAACCGTTTATGAAAAAAATGGGTTCAAGAAATCGTTTCTGAAACACATATATTTTTGTTCGAAAAACTGGTTTTGAAAAAAAAAAGAGTTCTAGAAACTGTATATGAAACTCATATATTTTTGTTCCATAAATCATTTTTGGAACTTAGATATTTTGTGTTCTAGAAACCTTTTTGGGGCTCACATAATATTGCCAAACAATAATTTCTGAGTGTTCGAAATTTTTTTTTCAAGAAACTATTTTGTATTTTTTTTTTTTTTTCATATTGACGTTGATAAAGTGCGAATTATTCACAACGGCTTTTGAGATGAGAATGTGTACAAAAATGGCGACACAAAGATGAATTTTTGGTGTCTTCAGACCTCATCACATGAAGCTTTTACAAATAAAGTTCATCACATTCAATGGCGGATCTAGGATGATTACATAATGGGGGCACCATATAATTTCATCTCTCTAGTTAATCATGACCACAGGGTTGACAAGGTCCTTACTAAGATATTTTCTCCTTATTCATCTCTCTGGTTAGGATGATATTCCATAATTCGTTTTCTATCGGTCGGGTCCCAAGAAAGATCATTTAAATCAACTTTTTTAGGCATTGAAGCAGGACAACTACCAACACTTGAGCTATTTCCAATTCCAATCCCACTATTATTGTTTGATGTTGGTAATTTTCTTTTCAAAAATTTCTTCATTAATAAACCTGCCCAAATTTTATGTTTATTTAACAAAATTTATTAAATTTGCTAAACTAAAATCAACTAAAATATATCATGTTCCTAGAAAATTGTAAATCAAGAAAACTAATAATGCTCATCAAAAAAGTAAAATATGTTCAAATTAAAGAGAAAAAATTACCTTGAAAAAAAATCGAAAAAAATCTTATTTCTTCTTGTTCTCAAAATTGGATGATATTCCAATTTTTGCTTGAAGAAAAAGAAAACTAGAAAAGAATTGATTACCCAAGCCAAGGATCTGAAATTTTCATGAAAGTGTCGGAGCCTCGCTTGCAGGATTTGCAATTTTCACGACAGTGCGGTCGCGAAATTTCACGAAAGCTTCCTTCACACGAATCACACCGCGTCGTCACCTCGCTTGCAGGTTTGATGTATCTTTTTCTTTTGTCTTTTTTTTTTTAATATATATATACATATATTGACGGAATGATTTTCTGTGTGGGTTGGGGACATAATTTTGGGCCTAGAGGAATTTTACTCTTTTGGACTACTTAACTAATATAATATAGTAGGTTGGAGAAAATTTTGTTGGGGTCTCTGACCCCACTCTCTTCATGTACATCCGCCACTAATCACATTGTTCATGGGGACAGAAACATGCTACACTTTTTAGTGGCCGGTGATAACAAAAAGTTGGAGAAATGACGAATCTCTTGCAAAATAGATTTTCAAAATGTGTCTGCTATGTTCACAATACTTACTATATATGTTGCACTATAGCCGAAGGATAGTTCAGGTCCGTATAATCAGCTTGTAGTACCAACGTACCCTTCGTATGGCTATACCGGGGGATAAGGTGGGTTTATGAATTTAGTTACTGCTCAGGGTCCACTTCTCTATCCAATTGGTATTGTGTATTCATCTGTTATGAACTTACACATTCAAGCATCAACATCTCATGCGAACAATGGCAACTATGTATTATCTGACAATAGAAGGATAGAATCAAATCAACCTGGAGCCTTATGTTATTCTCACAAACTAGTGAATTGGGGTATGAATAGTGGGTTCTATGGGGATTCAGCTGGGAATGATGATGGTAATGTTGACAAGCAATATTCTGATGCATTCAATAATGAGGTGAACAAAAAAGATAATCCTTATGGCAATGACGATTTCCTAGATGATATGGATGATAGAAATGACGATTCAGACTTCATTATTGAAGAAGATGATATGCTTGTCTCAAAAGATGGTGACAACAATGTTGTGTCTCCCTCAAACATGATAGTTGGTGTAAATGAGCATATTCTACGCAACCAGAAGAGTATACGGATCCACGATGTTCCACGACTTCACCTTTCTGGAGGTGTTGCTATTGAAGAGGATAATTTGAATAAAACCGCTACTCGTTCGAGTAGCTGTTGGATGGTCCCTGGAAGAATTTATCACAATGTTGATCATACCCCATTTGAAGAGTCATCTATGCTAGACTATGAATTACTCAAAGACGTTGTCTTTGATAATAAGGAAGATTTGTCGATAAATTTGGGTTTCTATCATTTCGTATTATTGTAGGAATAACTCCCTAATAAATCAGTTTGTTCCCATTTCATTGTATGTAACGATATTTCAAATGAGTTGGATAGAATAAAACTCAAAGTTCCCAACCCAAACTCGTATCAAATACTGATGATAGAGGTACTATACTACTCATACAAATGTACCACAAGCATGCATCAGTGGTATAATGATCATCTACAAGAAAAAAAACATAACCTAAAAACATAAATGGTTGATAGATATAAACAACAAAGAGATTATTGTCGCCTTCTTTGTTTTAGGGTGAATATGAAGAATAATATTCAAACTTGATTCCTTAACAAAAGATTTTATGGATAATGTTATGAGTAAAAAAAAGAGTTCGATACTCCTAATTAAATACATAGACCGACCACCTTTTTCACTTAAAAACGGCGAGTCAAGAGCTCGCCGAAAAAAAAGAATCAAAATTTGCCGAAAAGGGTCGTTCGTCTTTTCCTGGAGTTCTTCTCGATCGTTGTCGCTGGAGTTCTTCCCGCCCAACACTTTTTAATATTATTAATACTAATTAATAATACAACCAATCATCTTTACAACTTTAATCCACTATTCTTTTTTTTTACGAAACGATAAAACTTTAATCCACTATAGAATCACTCACATATTTTTAAATACATATAATTGTTAATAACTTTTCTCTGACTTTTACATTACGTTAGTTTTAGTTTTTAACATTATTTAAATACAAATTTAAAATCTACACAATCAAATTAATTTATAAAACTTATTTTTAATTAATAAAAATAATTAAAACCGGTTTTATTTATATATCCAATGACCCCCAATTTTCCAAAGAGAAAGGAAATTAAAGTAAATTAATTTATTTAAGTCCAAGAATGAATTCTTCTTTCCTTTTTTCTGTCAGTTCCAAAAAATGGCAGAAAATTGAACTGCGCATACCCTTTCAACCATCGATCTACTATCACGACCACATAGAAAATTATGACAACACACACGACTCATGAATCTCTCATGAAACCTTAATCGCTTCCTGTGTTACATAATTTAGCTCGAAATTATCTTATGGACGCACAGTCTCCGGTGTATATTTCACAAAGACGTTACTGGGTAATGAATTTCATCTTCTGTGGATGATTGTGAACAGATTGACGAGTGAGAATTGGGATCTGAGAGACTGAAAACCCTAAAATTTCAGCTCTGGACTTCACCCCCAATTTGACCAAGGTAAACTCACGCCTGCTGAGCTGAAATTTGAGGTTTTCGATTCAGAAAATAGCCAGATCTGTGATATCTCCGACAATCTTTGACTTATCAGATTCTAGTTTTATAGAAATCTTCAAAAGGACTAAAGATATGCACGCAGACAGATATGTGATTGTTGTTATGATTGTCAGTAGAAAGGGTGCCTGCCAGCTTTACTGTATGCAACAATTTGTTGACTCCGAGTAATTATGATTGTTTTTTTGTTTCATCTGCTAGTAGTAATATATTTCTTGTGCTTGTATAGCAAATAAGGTGAAAAATGTTCCTCATGCCATGGTAATTGATAAATGTGCGTCTGAATTGATGTTTACTCTTGTGCTGTGTAAGTCGAGAAATTGATTTTTTTTTTCCCCCTTTCGACAAGATATGATTTTAAAGATTTTGTATATGTGTTCTGTTTGCTGGCTAGTATTACTTACTGGAGATGCGGTCAATTGCAATTGCATTTTGCAGGCATCGTGTTGGAGATTTTTAAGTAGTAGCCAGCCTAACTGTATCGACGCACCATAACATCGAAAAACATGCACAACAGGCATCATAGGAATGGGCCCGGTAATGGGTACAGGTCGAATGTGATGGGGATGGGAGGCACGGCCTCTGCCTCAAGAGTTCCCCCTGAAAGTAACTTTAGAGGTCAGCGCATGTACAGTCCCGACCATAGGAGCTACCCTCGTGGTGGTTATTCTAGCGGCAGTCACTCGAAGCAGTTTCATCCGCCAGTGCCTCCTCCAAGGAGCCCCGACATTTTTGTGGAGGCTGGGAGGCTAGCTGCCGAGTATCTTGTTTCTAAAGGCGTGTTGCCCCCAAGTGCGCTCTGTGGAAAATGGCCAAATGATGGCTTAAAGAATGTGGCCAGTTTTCAGGGTTTCAGGCCGCACGAGGTAGAGGTTCACACAGATAGCCGTGGGTCGGTCCATTCCCGCCTGGGAAATGCTGGTCCGGATGTGGGGCCTGGAAGGAGAAAGTATTCCGAGGATATCAGTGTAATGGGTTCGAGGGGATCAGGCAGGGAGAGAAAAAGAACCGGGCCGGTGAAAAGTTACGGGCCAGACGTGAACAGAGATTCTGGCCGTAGCATGTCCCGGTCTGAGAAGGTTAGTGGTTCCCATGGCATGGATAGTGCTTCTGTTGGGCGTCATGGTGAGAGGCTCCCGACGGAGAAAGTAGACGAAGGTGGGACACATAATTTGTCTCCCGGTGAAATAACTCAAGAAGTAGAGGGTGAAGCTCGTTTTGGATCTGGATTGGAGAAATCGAAGATTTCAGAAGATGAGAAGGCAAATGACGAGAAGTGTTCACAACTGCATGCTGCAGATGGGGAAAAAGTGAAAAATCACGACGATGCTGACAAGTTTAACAAAGAGGTTGGTGAGAGTGAGATTGAAGAAGGAAAAAATGACGAGGATTCACTGCAAAAACATGAGGAGGGTGACGTTGTCAAAGGGGAGGATGATATGGTTAGTGAGGAGGATCCTATTGATTTGGTGAAACACTCTAAATTTTTGAATGTTTCCACTAGAGCTCGTTCATCTTTGGTAGGTAAGAATGCGAAGAGGTATCAGGAGGATGACATAGATATGAATGAGAATGTTTACAAGAGAGACCTTCCGGAAGGTTCTGGAGTTCACGTTATAGATGTTGACATTGAGACTTCAGCCGGTGACGCTGCTGCCTCTTGTCAAAATCCTGAATTTAAAAGCCATGAGTCTGTGGTCCCAGCTGTTGAGGATAATCGGGATGTTACTGAAAAACCCCTATATAAAGGACCTGAAGCAGATGGGGGGCTGTCAGAGTTTGGAAGATCAACTTCCTTGCTTGTGGAGAGAGGTGAAAAGCGGGCGATAGAATTTAGTACGGATGTTAAGGAGGATGTCAAAAGACTCAGGCAATGGGTTGAGCCTCTTTCCAGCCCAATGGAGAATAATTCATTGTTGCAGGAGCCAAGAACTTCATTGAGTGCTCAGTCAACTGAACTTCCTGACCGGAAAGGTGTTGATGTTTCAATATTTCAGAAAGATCATGCTGACTCTTGTGAGTTCATAGAAGAGAAGCACTCGTTTAAGACTTGTGATCTCAATCTTGTTGGGAATAGTGATGTAGGCGAGAATCATAACGCTGGCCGCATGCTCGTTTTTCCGTCTCTCATGCAATCTGGAAAAGAGGCAACGCCTATTGATGTTGATTTTTCAATTAGTAATGATGGGAATGTGCCTAATAACAATAGTAAAAATGCTATTAATGCTAATGAAATCGAGGTTATAGATTTGGAGAAAGATTGTGCACCGGAAGAAAAGACCTTCAGTAATCCCGATAGAAGGTCAGTGTTTGTTGGGATGCGCACGTTAATATATCTTCATTTGTTTGGATAATTTAGTTCTTTTTTTCTATCTGCTTTGTTTTTGTTGTGATTTAACTTTTGATCTGCTTGGTGATTGTTATTAATGTGTAGATTGTTTGTGCAGGGGAGATGCTGTATTCACTGATCTGGATGGTTTTTCAAATGCTTCACATAATGCTAATGGAATTCCTGATGTTCAGGATGGTTATGGACTTATGATATCAGAACTTCTTGGTCATGACAACCCGAACTGTTCTTTATCCACTCAAACTGACTTAAATTCTTTGCACAATCATATGGATCTCCCTAACGCAGAGGTAATCACATTTTATCTTTAACTTGTTTTCATGAATAAAAGAATTTGAGTCCTAAATTCAATGGCTCGTTTTTTCTTGTTGCTTTGACTACACTGAAATCACAAAATGGATGCCTACATTTTGCCAATTCCTAAGCGTCTAGCTAACAGTATCTTTTATTTATTAGCTTTTAAAAGAAATTTCAGAATTGGTAATTAAATTGTTTTGAATTGGTTGCAGGGTATTCTTGGCGACGATGACTCGATTTATATGTCCCTCGGAGAAATACCAATAAGTATGTTTATTTTTTAATATAACACCACATTTTTATTTTCTTTGTTCTCTTCCTATCCTTTTTTTCCTTGATGTTGGATTGTGTATTGCTATTATGTGCGACAATTCTATGTAAACATCGTGCAAAACATAAGTTACCCCATGGCTAGATTGGCATGACACGCCTTACGTCCTCAAAA